GGCTGAAATTTTTTCTCCTGTAGTTGTGGCTTCTTTGCAAAAGTGGTGCTATCCGCGGTGCATTTCTTGGCTGAAAATTTTTCTCCTGTAGTTGTGGCTTCTTCGTAAGAGTTTCGTGCTATCCGCGGTGTATTTCTTGGCTGAAAATTTTTCTCTTGTAGTTGTGGCTTCTCCGTAAGAGTTTGATGCTATCCGCGGTGCATTTCGCGAGTGCATGAGCGACGCTGGCCGTTTTAATTAACGGAATGAACCGAGCCTAGCAGAAGTCGTGCGTGGTGCTGCCGTGCAATTAAGAGGCCATTTTAATTCCACTTTAAATAACGGAATGGACCGAGCCTAGGAGAAGTTGAGCGCGGCGCTGCTGCGCAATTAAGAGGCCATTTTAATTAACGGAATGAACCGAGCCTAGCAGAAGTCGAGTGCGGCACTGCTGTGCAATTAAGAGGCCGTTTTAGTTAACGGAATGAACCGCGCATTACAGAATTCGTTTTATTTACGGAATGAACCGCGCCTAGCACAAGTCGAGCGTGGTGCTGCCGTGCAATTAAGAGGCCATTTTAATTAACTGAATAAACCACGCATTACAGAATTCGTTTTAACTAACGGAATGAACCGAGCCTAGCAGAAGTCTAGGTGCGTTCTCTTGCTCTGTGCGCAGCTGTGCGATTAAGATATCGCGTCTCAGTATTAGGGATGACGGGGAAAACTGAATAGAGTCCCAGGAGGTGATGCGCTGCCCCCTTCCCCCCTTACTTTTCTTTTTTCCCTCTCTCAGCTGATCGTGTCGCGTCAACCGCGCGCTACGACGGGGGACGCTACGCTTTGCCTAGCTGTGTCAGCACAAGACATATCGTTCGGACTCGTGTATACATGTGATGAATAAGCGTTCCAAGGCTGGTGGCTGGTTAATCGAGGTATGTCGGATATGCTACAGCTATGTACGCCTGGAAGGCTGCTTTATCGAAGCAGATGGAGCGAATTAAGTGCGACTTGCGATGGGATTAAGCGCGACCTGTAGATGGGACCCGGCCGACGAGCCACCGTCGCTTACAGGGCCCCACCCACCATAAGCACAAACTACCAAAATTCCAAATAATGATTGTGTATTGTTTCTCAGCTCAAGAGCTTAGTATACAACAATAAGAATAAAATGACATAATAAACATAATAATGACAATAATAATAATACAACATAATGACAACATAAACATAAAAATAATATGACAATATGTCTCACAACGTGCTAATCACAATTAAACTGGACACCGGCGAGCAATTACCTCCATTAATCGAAGAAAAGGGTCTTTCACGTTGGGACGTGCGTTAATTGATCTCCACCAAAGCCAGGCGAGGTGAGACGGCATAAGTGAGGTAGTCGTCTTGTTGCTGTTGCAAACAAGGCGGCGCTTGGCCTTTTGCCATTAACTTTCAATCCTTTGCGTGATGACGCCTGTCGTAGGATCAACGAAGTTGACACTGTGGTTCATGGTGTGCCAGTCCAAGTTTAGCGGTGTTCAATTGGCATCCACAAGTCTGGGTATGCACTGGTACGCGGCCCACTCGTCGCTGTACACCGTCGTCCCGGGAAGAATGTGCTGCCGGTCGAAGCGATGGCGCAGGCGACAGTCCGATTTCACGAAGGAAGGCCTCTTCCGCTGCAGGGTACCTTATGATGTCGGCGATTTCGACAATGCTGGGCTCTATCCGTGGCGTGGCCATGACGAGACGCTTCCTGAACTGGTAACAGTGTAGCTTGCATGGCTAACGTTACGGTATCTTATAAGGGTCATGAGGTGAAAGGGGGATAGAGCGCTCTAACGTTGACAGGGCGCCTACGTGATGCAGCGTCAGCGGGGAAAGATGGGGTGGGTCACGCGCCAACGTGGCGCGAGCATCTGCCGAGAAAGAGTGGATGGGCCATGGCCCTAACGCCACGCGAGCACCTGCGAAGAAAGACGGGATGGGCAAAGACGCCTGGAATAAAAAAAACACAAAAAAACTTTTTGTACATCTAACGGTGGTTGACATGGCGCCGACCCGACGCGACGCGAGTGTCTGCGGAGAAAGAGGGGGTGGGTCACGGCGCCGACGCGGCACGAGCATATGTGTGAAAATACGGGATAGGCGAAGACGCCTCGAATCGTACAACACCTAGGTCACTTACTCCACTTCGGTGCCCCTCCTTCTCCACAGCAACGGTGACTTGAGCGGGAGTGCGAACGATGCGAACGTGATGCTACGTGATGTGACCCACGTATCACGTAAACAGTACACCACCTAGGGCTCAGTGCATTGGGCGTCGAGACATGGCCAAACTTGCTCACGTAAACCTCTTAAGTTTCCTTATTTGGTGCTCCCTATCTCAGTCGCAATCCCTAAGCTTTAATCGTGATCCTTCTGAAATGCCGTAACGTTAGTTGTGCAAAGTACATTGTCACCATTTCAGGAGCCGTCGCGTTAGTGGACTGTCGAAGACGCCGCCGCTTCGAGCGGCAGTTTGAGCTGCAGACAGTCGGGGACAGCGCAGAAGCGGCCGCCGACATCCGAGTGATGGGGAATTTGCAAGGACCTCGGCTTAATTATGGTGACCTAGGATGCAGTAAGTCATCACGTACAATCGCCCCGGCAAAAGAACGAGCGGACCCACACTTCAGGTACAATGGTTGCAGGAAACAGCTAGCTGTGCCAGCTCCGCGGAACACTCACAATGCAGGGTAGACAGGGGCAAGGCTCCTTTTTTTGCCTCTCGAGACGTACTTGGTCGTTGCACGTGTCAACGTGAAAGACCCTTTCCTTCGATTAATGGAGGTGATCGCTCGCCGATATTCCGTTTAGGGATCCCTGCCATATCGTGAGTGATGAGCGTGTAGTGAGACATATTATGCCATTTTATTCTTATGTACCCACCCTATTGTTTTATACTGCGCTCTTGAGCTGAGAGACAATTTGTGCTTATTGTGGGTGGGGCCCTGTAAGCGACGGCGGCTCGTCGGCCGGGTCCCATCTACAGGCACACGCAAGTCGCGCTCAATTCGCTCCATCTGCGTCAAAAAAGCAGCCTGCCAGGCATACATAGCTGTAGCCTATCCGACGTACCCCGATTAACCAGCCTTGGAATGCTTATTCATCACATGTATACACGAGTCCGAACGATATGTCTTGTGCTGACACAGCTAGGGGAAGCGTAGCGTCCCCCGTCGTAGCGCGCGGTCGACGCGACACGATCAGCTGAGAGAGAAAAAAAAAAGAAAAGTAAGGGGAAAGGGGGGCAGCGCATCACCTGCTGTGACTCTATTCAGTTTTCCCCGTAATCCCTAATACTGAGACGCGATATCTTAATCGCACAGCTGCGCACACAGCAAGAGAACGTGCCTCGACTTCTGCTAGGCGCGGTTCATTCCGTTAATTAAAACGGCCTCTTAATTGCGCAGCAGCGCCGCGCTCGACTTCTGCTAGGCGCGGTTCATTCCGTTAATTAAAACGGCCTCTTAATTGCGCAGCAGTCCCACGCTCGACTTCTGCTAGGTGCGGTTCGTTCCGTTAATAAACAGGGCCTCTTAATTGCGCAGCAGCGCCGCCTTCTGCTAGGCGCGGTTCATACCATAAATAAAACGAATTCTGTAATGTGCGGTTCATTCCGTTAATTAAAACGGAATTAAAATGGCCACTTAATTGCACGGCAGCACCACGTGCGACTTCTGCTAGGCACGGTTCATTCCATTAATCAAAACGGCCTCTTAATTGCGCAGCAGCGCCGCCCTCGACTTCTGCTAGGCGCGGTTCATTCCGTAAATAAAACGAATTCTGTAATGCGCGGTTCATTCTGTTAATTAAAACGGAACTAAAACGGCTTCTTAATTGCGCAGCAGCGCCGCCCTCGACTTCTGCTAGGCGCGGGTTAGTACACTGTAGCGCGGTTCATTCCGTAAATAAAACGAATTCTGTATAGCACGGTTCATTCCGTTAATTAAAACGGAATTAAAACGGCCTCTTAATTTCACGGCAGCACCACGCGCGACTTCTGCTAGGCTCGGTTCATTCCGTTAATTAAAACGGCCAGCGTCGCTCATGCACTCGCGAAATGCACCGCGGATAGCACCAAACTCTTACAAAGAAGCCACAACTACAAAAGAAAAATTTTCCGCCAAGAAATGCACCGCGGATAGCACCAAAGTCTTACGGCGAAGCCACAACTACAGAAGAAAAATTTTCAGCCAAGAAATGCACCGCGGATAGCACCGAACTCTTACGTAGAAGCCACAACTACAGAAGAAAAATTTTCAGCCAAGAAATGCACCGCCGATAGCACCAAACTCTGACAAAAAAGCCACAACTACAGGAGACAATTATCCGCGAAGTTTCGCGGCAGTCTGGCAACAACCACCCTTCCAGTCTGGCAACCACTTATGCAACGCCAAAAAGAGCCTTGCCCACGTGAAGACGCATCATTTTGTGAAAATAGTTGGGTTCGTGTATCGCATATGAACGAGAAAAACGTCTTGTAGGGTGACATACACATTGAGGACGAGACTTATTGTTGAAAAACGGCCTTACGTGGCGGCCGCCCCACAAATTTTCGCAAGTGACGGAGACAACTCGCTGTTATAAACGTGATTGTGGCAGCGCCTGCATCGGAAATCAACACAAGGTGTTGCACATCTCTAAGCAAGCGCGCACGCTCGCACGATATTGCACTCGTTACGGCCTGAAACACGAACGCTTTGAAACCTCGTGGTTGCGAATCATACGCGATCAACGTCGATTTGATCGCGTGCTGTAGCTGAATGAAGGCTATAGCTCCGAATCCAGTTGGTCACAGTCCATCAACGCTTCCCGAACCGTGGCGCACATAGTCTCAGACTCGCAGCTTATATACGCAGATTCTATAGAGCAAGGCCACAAGCAAGTGCAAGCAAAACAAGTCATCGCTACAAACAGTGACAATAATCACCATGCCAAAATGGAAAGCCCCATCAGAAACACACGAAAGACAGGCTTACCTCGCGAGCTCGAAAAAAAGTACGGCAACACGAAGTCCTCAAGAGCCCACGTGTCTGCTGGCGTGTCTCCGTGTGGTCATTCAAATAGACGAGTGACTGTGCTTCTTTGGAGCACCCTGGCGCCCTCTTGTACCTTTTTGCTTGATTACTGCGAAGTAGTTGTGTGCCTCGCCGAGAGGTGGATACCACCAGAAAACGAGGACACCAGATGGGGTAGCATGTGACCTTGGTCCACGGTTTTGCCGTGCCTTGGTCCGCTAAACAACAACAATGAAAAAAAAAACGAAATATTCTGCAGTAAACCCCTTTTGTATGCTCCGACGGCCCATGACACGCCCCAAGTCCCTGGGTGACTCGTGGCCTGCGCGGTTACCTCCGGTTCCTGAGATGAACGCAAAAAAATAAAAAGAAACGAAGAAGCAGGAAATAAATGCTACCGGTTTGTGTGGCTTTTGCGACGTGTGCCGGGTAGCGGGCGTACGAAAGGTAACGTTTTGCCTGGACAGTGGGACACTGAAAGGAAGCCGAGGGGAGCTTGTTATGACAGGTTCAAAACCAGCGGAGACATGCTCCTGAACTTAAAGTTGTTTCAACACCCTCCTCGCTCTCCTTCCTCTTCCCTAAGCAGTTCCAACCGTCAGGAGAGTAGGCGGAATTTTTTTCAAGGGGTGAACCACCTTGATCTGAAATGGGAGCAGGGTAGGTGGATGTGCAACAGACTTTTGGGCTAGTTGGTTGGTTGCGTTCAATGAAGCCATAGCGCTGATAAGACACAGACCACAGAAAAAGTACAGGACGTAAGCTTTTTTAAACTCACAACTAATGCATTTTTTTTTCGCAAACATGACATACCTTTACAGCAATGAAAGCTGAATAACACTAAAAAAATTCGTATCGGAAATGCAAGCCTGCATCATTCAGCTACACACAGGGCAATCGATGGCGCGCTGACGCAATTCGTATTTTCTACAGCGAGGAATCAACCGGGCGTCCTACTATCATTCGTGTGTCCTTATCACAGTTCCTCCACAGAACTACAGATTCGCTGAAAGTTGTCGGCAGCCGCAGTCATTGCAATCTGCTGATACGTGCTCGTCGCGGTAACATTTAATTTTCTGTTTGTGCTCTCTGCGCCTATGAATCGGGTATCTGCCTGTCTGTTCGATATACGGTTCGCCGCACGAAAATGGCGCAGACCACGCACGAGGACGCACTGCTGCTTCATGGCGCTTCCTCGGCGTTTCATGTGAAGAGTCAGTAGCTTTACAAAACCTTCTTAATTTTTGTGAAGCGGCAAACGCCGGATCTACTTCCGCTTTGCAGACCACCTGTCTTGTCTGCTCGAGCTTGCCGGTTCATTCATCCCAACGCCTTCTCCACCACTGACACGAGCACGTGAGCAGGGCAACCTCATCCAGCCGCCGCTATTTTCGACTGGATAAACAATCAGTGAAGGCGGCTTGCGCCGTGCATTTCCCAAACAGAGGTTAGCAATTGCGCGCTCCCTCAACTAGATATAGAATATGCCAATGTACGCGGAAGGAGCGTTTTAGCCTCGCGAGCGTGATATTTTCCACAACAATGGCTGCTGGCACGTTGCTGTGCTAATTGGTTGGGGTTGATCATTCATACAACTATCATCTGGTGAAAAGAGTTTGATTTCTAAAAACTGGATGACATTATCAGCAGGAACTTTTTGCGGAATAACTACAGTTTGTCAGCACAGTCGCAGAGCATGGAAATCACTTCAGTCACAGTGTTATTTCAATCACACTAATACAGCACGTTGTCAACGTATACCTAAAAACGTGCAAACACTTTATCCATTTTTTTTTTACTTTTAGGGGTCTGTTTAGACGGCCGAGAAGTAACTTCAAGACAGCTGCAAGACAGGAGCCAGTATACAGACCTCTTCTTTCTGAAGACATATGGTCTCACCACATTCAACAAATGTGGATTTTCAATAAAACGCCAGTATAGTTACCAGAACCCGCTTGCGGATATTCTTGTCTGGGTTTGGAAGGCACTGACGCCATAGACATCTATGTGGTCTTCAATTCAACGCATGATCGCATCATGTGGCATGCAATAGTACAGTTCTTCAACGCCATACGAGCAGGCAAACATTCTCCTCTCGTTATTTGCACTGATGTACTCTAATACGTTGTTCGAGCTTTTCAAGTTACCAGGAATGGGTCGTCAATACGGAGCAGGCTAAGCTTATTTTGCAAAAAAAAAACGGCAAGGGTATTCTGTCACGCTATTTTTTTAGATACGATCCCTCCGAGTGGACAAAGTAACTTGTGGGTCTTTACAGAAAACATCACTTCTAAACTGATGCTCTTGCTACCTGCGACAGATATCGCCAGGTAGGAAAGGTTAAAACGAGAACATAACATTTCCCCATCCGCTTTCACTTTCTGTATCGAGACGTCTTCACAACCCCACAAAACAGACACAATGGCTTCGCCAGCCTTCGATTTGAATTCATTCTCAGTGAGGACAGCAAAGCCTTGTAGGCCGGCAGGACGCATAACGAAGAGTCCCGTAAAAAATGCTGTACTCGTAGCACATATTGATGGGTCACACAGGCTTCCTATGACACATCACATCAAAGCATTCGCTCACGCAAGGAACACCATCACCGTCCGATGCAGACCTGCCAACGCATCGTTCCATACAAAGCAGTTCGGGCGCTGTCTTCCTTGGTTATATAACGAACTTTGGTCCCAGGCTGAGTACTCGATGCGTATTTGGTCCGGGAGGGTAATATTCCCTACAGTCCTGACCGCTTAACGCCGGTGAGCACTACTTTTTTTGGCTTTTCAGCACGCGGCCTTGGAAGAGTGATGCTCCACGAAAATTCGGCCGTCTGATCCACAAGCAGAAAAAAAAATTCCGAGCAGCTTTATCGGCATTCTCTTTTTATGTGTAGAGAGATGAATGCGCATATATATTAGGATTTCTGGAGATCCGTGCCATGAATGAAGAAATTTATTTATCCCTTTTTAAAGAGAAGGGGACAATAGGAAAGAGTGTGACGGGGACTAACTACATGAAGTAGTCCTCCTCGGCCCTCTCAGCCCACTCTAGGATGACCTCCTGAATATCGGTCCTCGAGCTGCGCAAGGCAGCCTCCCACTGCTCTTCAGTGGACATTTCTCTGCCATTCATAATTCAGGATCTTGCATGTCCTTAAACCGTGGCCAAAAGAAGGAACAATGCCGGCATAAAATAGCTTTACCACGTCGTGTATAGAATCCGTGCTCTGATGCAAAAGCGTTCTGGCTCTGCAGGCTGCAACGGTGATGAAGGACACTAGAGTGCACGGATGCGGAGAACATACAAAAGGGCCCGATGTACTAGCAATAGAAGCCTAGGCGATTTCAAGCCTATAAACGTTGAAACATTTTCACACGGCGCTGAACACATTTCGGCGTTTAGGCTTCAAATCACCTCAACGGAGCCTACCACCCACCATGGTCCTGTATGGACGCTGCATGTAACTTCAGTGTCTCTAAAGTGCTGACGAAAAGCACGGTTCTAGCTGAGGAAGCAAAGTTTCTGGTGTTGGACCATTTGAACACCATGTATACCGTGGTCACCTACAAGTTTACACGGATGGATTGGTATGCACACAAACGGATAGCTGCACAGCGGCTTTCTCCATACCCTCCCTGCGCGTGTCATGGTCAGGCCGCCTAAATCATGTTGTGTCGTTCACAACAGTAGAAAGCACAGCAATTTTTGCGAAAATTGCAAACACTTTCTGCACGAGATATGATAGTGCTGATTCATTCACAGTGAGCGTTACAACGACTGCATCGAGGGCTACCTCAAGAAGGATTCACAAGACAATCTCTGGCGCTCATTAAACACCTGATTGGCAGGAGCTTCGATGTAAAATTTCAGTGTATCCCATCCCACGTTGAAATTGAATTGAAGGCAACCTAAGGCTGCTGCCTTTGCACGCGAAGTGCGAACTTGCGTCCCAAAAATTAAGAGCTCCTAAAACTTACCAGAACAACTACCTAGAATGTAATACGCAATCACTTCAGGACGATCCACAAGCTTCCGCATTAGTCATTCGTAATCCACGGACTTTCCAGAGAACAAGCGACGCCGCTTTATCGAATAAGAACCGTCTCCGCATACACGCCGTCTTAGCCATGCAAGACTGGGTGAGGCACTTCCCAGTTTTGTGCCGTTTGTGGTGCAATCGGTGACATTGAACATTTCATTTGGCTGTGCCCGCAGTTTGACAGAGAAAGGACAGAGATGCTACGCAGCTTTCAGAAAGGTTGTCACGAGCACGGTGTAGTGAAAGAAGAGCGAGAAGCACCCCTCTGCGCATTCTGCGGAGAAATGGAATCGATTGAACATTTTTTATTGTCGCTGACACGCTATACCTAGAAAAAAACTTTGAGTTAATCAATTTCTGAAAATAGGCGTTACATTGACGGCGGAAACTGCACTTAACTTTGGTGCCTCAGTTTTGGGACATTGCCACAGGGATGCTTTCAATGCCGTTGTCACACCTGTCCCGTTTATTAGGGAGGCAATCGCCGGGCTAATTCCAAGGGTCGAAGTATCGGCCCCCCGAACCGCACCACGAAAGCGTGGACAATTTAGAAGTGGTCCTTTTTGGTGCGCCAGCGGACGCCGGCTGTGGCCCAAAGAACAAGTCGGAGCCGAGAGTTGATAAACAAACAAATTATATTCTCAATAATGGCAGATCGAAAGCAATACACAAAAATGCACACTCCACAATAGTTGCATACAATATGTCACCAATCAAACCAATCAATCAACGTACTACACAATACAATCAGCCACACTCAAAACAACGGACACAGACAACAATACGAACTACAATGCAGTCGCATGCATTGAACAACCAAGACACTTAAAGACTAAAGAGATAGAAAACCTATTCAGTCCAAAGTTCTTGGAACAAAAGTCTGAATGACACTCTTCCGAGAATCACTCACTCAAAGTCCAGCGTTGTTGTCGTTCCGCGCCCTCGATGTTTCTCTTCCAGGAAACCTCGCCGGAGTTTCTCTTCCAGGAAAACTCCCGTCTTCAATAGGCCACTCTTCCAACTTCAAACTTCTTCGCCCGAACAC